TCTCGATCAGTTTTGCACATCGAGAGACTGGAATTCTTCCTTGCAAAACAGCTCAAGCTCAGTAAGGTTGGATGGAGAGCGTGTGTGAACAGCAGTCTTCAGCTCTTTCCACAGATTCTGGATTGGATTCAGGTCTGGACTTTGACTTGGCCATTCTAACACCTGGATACGTCTATTTGTGAACCATTCCATTGTAGATTTGGCTTTATGTTTTGGATCATTGTCCTGTTGGAAGATAAATCTCCGTCCCAGTCTCAGGTCTTTTGCAGACTCCAACAGGTTTTCTTCCAGAATGGTCCTGTATTTGGCTCCATCCATCTTCCCATCAATTTTAGCCATCTTCCCTGTCCCTGCTGAAGAAAAGCAGGCCCAAAGCATGATGCTGCCACCACCATGTTTGACAGTGGGGATGGTGTGTTCAGGGTGATGAGCTGTGTTGCTTTTACGCCAAACATATCGTTTTGCATTGTGGCCAAAAAGTTCGATTTTGGTTTCATCTGACCAGAGAACCTTCTTCCACATGTTTGGTGTGTCTCCCAGGTGGCTTGTGGCAAACTTTAAACAAGACTTTTTATGGATATCTTTGAGAAATGGCTTTCTTCTTGCCACTCTTCCATAAAGGCCAGATTTGTGCAGTGCCCAACTGATTGTTGTCCTATGGACAGACTCTCCCACCTCAGCTGTAGTTATCTGCAGTTCATCAAGAGTGATCATGGGCCTCTTGGCTGCATCTCTGATCAGTCTTCTCCTTGTTTGAGATGAAAGTTTGGGGGGACGGCCGGGTCTTGGTAGATTTGCAGTGGTCTGATACTCCTTCCATTTCAATATAATTGCTTGCACAGTGCTCCTTGAGATGTTTAAAGCTTGGGAAATCTTTTTGTATCCAAATCCGGCTTTAAACTTCTCCACAACAGTATCTCGGACCTGCCTGGTGTGTTCCTTTGTCTTCATGGTTCTCTCTGCGCTTTAAACAGAACCCTGAGACTATCAAAAGCAGGTGCATTTATACGGAGACTTGATTACACACAAGTGCATTCTATTTATCATCATCAGTCATTTAGGACAACATTGGATCATTCAAAGATCCTCACTGAACTTCTGGACTGAGTTTGCTGCACTGAAAGTAAAGGGGCCGAATAATATTGCACGCCCCACTTTTCAGTTTTTTATTTGTTAAAAAAGTTTAAATTATCCAATAAATTTCGTTCCACTTCACGATTGTGTCCCACTTGTTGTTGATTCATGACAAAAAATTTAAATTTTGTATCTTTATGTTTGAAGACTGAAATGTGGCGAAATGTTGAAAGCTTCAAGGGGGCCGAATACTTTCGCAAGGCACTGTATCTATCTATCTATCTATCTATCTATCTATCTATCTATCTATCTCTAGGGGCATACTGGGCAATTTATTGTGTGACTGACAATCATACTTCTTTGCACCTTGTCCACATAACCTGGATCTCACCATAATCCTTTTGTAGCTTGTGAGTCGCCGACAAAAAAAATAATAGAGATGGAATTCCCAACTTTTCACAGAGTCCTAAGTGTTTGTTATCATCTAATTTCCCGTGTTTGAACGGTTTGATTCTCTGATCTGTGTTGGTAATTCCACAACTTTGTAAAGTCCTGATTGGCCTGATTTGGGGCATTGAATTTACTTTAAAAATGTGTCCCGCCCCTTTGACAAAGTGACAGTGAATTGTTATCTCTGCCGCAGACAAAGTTCAGAGACAAATTGTAGTTTTTTCTCTTCCTCTAAAATGGGAATGCTGGTGAGTTAATCCTCCACATACTGTATCACAGATTCAGAAAAGACAACTGCCAAAGAAAGTAAGTAAGCCTGAGGGAGGGGCGAGGGGCCGGCAGAGGACTGAGGGGAGAGCAATGGCTGTGCGTGTATATAAGGATTACATGAATGAGTTGCGCTAAAACACCGCTGTGTGTAAATGGAACAAGCTATAACATGGTCCGAGACTTATAGGTGATAATAACTAAGACATGTATCACTGCTCATAAATTCAATGCATAGAACCTTCTTAGACACATGCAATTTCCTCGAGAACCTATAGTTCCTTTTCATGCGGAGGGTGAAGCAGTCACCAAAGCTGCCTCTGAAGTGGCTTCGCTTTTGGATCTCACCAGGTTTCACAGGTTTGACTATATCTGCCTTTAACCTTCTTTATTATACCAGGTAGACATTTTTATCTTTATTATGCTAAAGTCAGAGATTTGGAAGTTGCTTCCTTATGATGATAGAGTTGGAGACTATACATTGGTTCCTTATTATGGTAAAGCTAGAGCTGTTTTCATTTACCTTGTGATGTCTGTTCCTCATTTGTGCTGTTGTGTAACTGGTGATGCAACACTGACATTTCCCCACTGTAGGACCAATAAAGGATATTAAAGGTATGTACAAATCTGGCCAAAAGTGGTACTGCAGCCTCTCCCACTCTCCCTGACTCAGGTTGCCAGATATGCAGACGAATCCAGCTGGGACCATAACAGCTGAATAGACAAGAGTTTTGTCAACAACAAATCTATAACCAACACCTTTTTCACAAAGATAGAAATCCTGGTTTTATTCCTTGTTTTGTCGTTAATGATTTGAGAATCATAACGAGACCTTTTTTAGTGGTACTTTACCAGTGAGATTACCTCCACACGGTGAGTTCTGGTGCCCGGATCACTTTCTGATTGGTGAAACGGTGGAGAGCGGGACATGGAATTGAAAACAATAACAAGATTTAGAGACTGGACATCTAATTTAGAATTTCAAATATCTCTGAACTACTGTTATCAGTTAAAGAAGTATTGGAAAAGAGCAGTTTATTATTGTGACAGATTAAGGCCCTGTCATGACTTGACACAAAAATCTTGCTTCTTTCAGAAATGTCTTGCAGAAGAAGTCACAACAGTCGTCCATACAAGGCCATACATCTTCCATACGTTGTGCGACTGTGACATTTCCATCCAAAACCTGTGACAAAGGTTTTTACTTCCATCTCTGCTCAGTATTCTTGGGTTTCATTAAACTGGCCAGTAGGGGGCGCATGAGCAGAGGTGGGACAACTCAGTGTTGCTCCCATTGAAAACCATATAAAGTCTGTTTTGGAGTCAAAGGCTCTCCTCCTGTGCGGTGTACGGTTGTTGTAACAGTCTTAATCGGGGACACTCAATTCTAAGGGAGCACTAACAAATATTTCTCAAAAGAGTCTTGATTTCGGGCATTTTTGGAAAGAAAAACGGAAGAAATATCTGCGTTTCACTGGGGTGGCCTGCAGGGGGCGCATATCTGGGAAAGCCTTGATCCACCTCCGCCTCATTCCAGTGTCCTCCTTTATATGAGACCACAGTTGGAACATGAACAAACTCTGGTCTTTCTCTCTGTGTGTGGTTGCTACAAGCGTACACCGCACAAAAAGATGGCGTTTTGACAGCGCTTCTTCTTCTACTATATCTGGGTGTATAAACCGCTTCTTCTTCTACTATATCTCTGTGTATAAACCACTTCTTCTTCTTCTACTATATCTCCGTGTACAAACCCGGCAGACTGCACCGCCAGGATACGTCACGTCCTGTCCTACGTTTGTTATTCGCGCCACTGCCCTGACGTCGTATGAAACCCAAGAATTTGCAGTCTTGGGCCTGGCCTGGTCTTGGCCCTGGCCTGGTCTTGGCCCTGGCCTGGTCTTGGCCCTGGCCTGGTCTTGGCCCTGGTCTTGGCCATGGCCTGGTCTCGTAAAGTGCGTTCATCCAGTTTGACTTATAAATTGCCGATCTTTGCTTTTTTCTCTTCAAACCCATGATGTGGCTCAGGGGAATTTGGGATGTGCTCACGGATCTTAAACTTGATCTTGACCCCAATTTAAGACATTAATTATGCCTTGTGTTGTTATTGGGTTTTTTGGAGAGATGCTAATATTCAGACATGGACATTAGTCTTTTTGTCCGTCTGAAATGATGTATACTGTAATCTAAGACCTCAAACTGTCTTGTTTTATGGGGAACATTGCTCAAACCTGGAGTGAAGCCTGCACCATTGTCTCATGCAGCTGTCATGTTCCTCTGAGTATGTTTGTTTCAGCGATTATCTGAGCTGCCTGTCATATTTAAGTGTCTACAACGTGTTAATGATCCTTGTTTAACTGTCTGGGCGTCCACTCGGCAAAACAGGATCCAGTATGAGGTCATAATGGCTTCAATCCAGTGGTTTTTATCTTAATTTTAGCTCATTCTGACTGTCTCAAAACAAGATTCACCAATGGGACAGAGCCATTTAGTTTCTTCTTCTTCTTCTCCGTCTCCTTCTCCATCTCCTTCTTCTGCTCCTTCTTCTTCTTCTGCTCCTTCTTCTTCTTCTTCTGCTCCTTCTTCTTCTTCTTCTGCTCCTTCTTCTTCTTCAAACAAGATAATTTTTCTTTGTCCCATTGGCAAATCTTGTTTCTTGTTTCAATCTGGAGCGACAACAGGAGCCAAGATTCATTTAAAAGATTTATGGATTGAGAGTTTGTGTCTAGTTTATTAGTTTGGTGCAGGCTCCGGCTGTGGCTCCGCTGTTTCTTATTATTACTATTGTCAACTCTTTGGAATGATCTATTTTCACTGCTACTGGACGCCAGAATTTACCCGAATATCTCTCTCTCTCTTTTAGACAGGTGGAGTTGGTGAAACTTTAGATCATCCCTCACTAATGAACAGCTAATTAAGTGCTAATTACTCTGTGCTCACCACAAGCACAGCGGCTGTGTACACAGACGTGGCTGCTGAGGCTCTCCCTGTGTAGTCTGTGGAGAAGGGATCTGGATCTGAATCTGGATCTGAATCTGGATCTGGGTCCGGTTCTGGGTTCGGATCTGGGCTGTCTCTGCTGGAGGTGCTGGTCCTAACGCTCTAAAGTTTTGAGTTTCTAAGCCACAAACCGCTCTCGTCAGCGCTGGCACCAGAGAACAGCAGATTCCATTTGGACAAAGCTCCATGAAGTAAAACACTTAAGGTTGGATATGATCGCATTACGGGACATTTGGAGACGAGAAGACGGATGGATTTCAGAGTTGGACCGCCTCAGTCCGTCTGTAAGTACGTGTTTATACTCCTGCGCAGACGCTTGGATCACAGCCCTTTGTTATTGTTACATAAAGCTAACATTTTTGCCCTGAAGAAGGTTAAGATAGTATATCATTCCACTCGTTTCCCGTCGCAAATGTGGTTTAGGATTCTGCGAGAGATGAGAAATATGTGATTTTAAATACAGCAAAGTCATGGATTAGGACGAGAACTGAAAAACGTCTGTGAAAGGGTCCAGTTAAAGAACACATACAGTGCAGTTTTATAATAAGTCTTTATGCAGTCATTTTGAATAATATCCTATGTTCAAAAATATATAGATAGATAGATAGCTTTTATTACAGACTCAACACAAATAATAGACAAGACACAACACACTAAAAACAGACAACATAAAACAATAAAAGTCCCCAAATCTCTTTAGAGGAGGCATCTATACCAGTTTTTCCACAGTGCAGAGGTATAACGAACATCACTGTATGCTCTACTCGTCAACACTAAAATCATCAAATTTGCACTATTGTCCAGGCGACACATACATTTGTACATTAGGTTCCTCAAATTGGCCTGCAGTGAGTTCACTCGAAAGGACACAAAAAGTTCAGAAGCGCTGCTCCATCTGGGCCTTTTTAGCAAAAGTCTGAAGGCACTTTTGCTAGGCGATAGGCGGTGTCTATTGTGATTCTTGTTTTTATCCTGGAAAGCGCCCTGGGCACCTTCTGGCTGTTGTTGGGCGCTATACAAATAAAAATTTGATTGATTGATTGATTGTTGTAGGTCACTTTCAGTCTCTGTAGGCTGGACTTTTTATAGTTCACCCACAGATGAGCGGTGTAAAGCGGGGTGCAGTATGCCCGAAACAAAGCCACTTTTACTGCATTAGAACAGTGTCCCAATTTACGCAACAAAATATTAGCCTGGGCGTACAGCATACGGCACTGTCGATACATATCCTCATCGTCTGACAGACGATCTGTCAGGATATGACCAAGAAATTTCACCGTGCTTTCAGTTTTTAGGATGTTTCCAGATAGCTTAAAGTCAGGAAACACCAGGGCTTGGTCCTCTTTGGTTCGACAGGTCATTATGACACTTTTCCTTTCATTATATTTGATATTGTTTTGTTCACCGTACGCCAAACACACATCAAGCAGCTGCTGGAGACCAGCTGAACTCGGACTGAAAATCACCAGGTCATCAGCATACATCAAGTGGTTGACAATATTATCTCCAGCAACACACCCAGTTCTGCACCAGTTCAATTCTTTAGAAAGGTCATTCATATAAAATTAAATAAAATTGGAGACAGCAAACTCCCTTGTCTCACACCATTGCTGACCTGAAAGGGTGCAGACACACAGTTATCCCATTTGACCTCCAGAGTCTGATGGGCATACCAGTAAGACAGGCAACGAACTACATATTTAGGAACATTGGCTTGACACAGTTTGTGAAACAATTTGGCATGGTTAACACGGTCAAAAGCCTTGGAGGCATCTAAAAAACACATAAAAACAGTGGATTGTCTACTTTTATATTTACTTAACAATTCTTTTAAAGCATAAATACTAGGGCTGTCAAAATTATCGCGTTAACGTATATTTTATATTTAAAATAATGTTTTCTCCACAGTTCTACAATAGAGTGGGACCCAGTGACTCCATCTACAGTGTGAGGTAGACAAGGTTTGCTATTATTTATACCTTTAACCTGCTTCCAGAAGGCCTTGGTGTCATTATTTAAAAGCTTATTGGCCATGGAGTCAGCCCGTATTGTTTCCTCATTTTTACGTAGGAATCGAATGGCGTACTTATATTGTGCATTTGTACGTTTTTTACACTCAAACAAAGGTCCCTGTCTGGGTTTTCCTGCAGTCGCCCAGGCCTAACAAGCGTCACAGGCTTCAGCATGGGAAGCCCGTATGATACTTTTTTATATGATAAAAAAGTTAAAAATAAATACTTCTTATAAGAGAAATATATGTTTGTGTTGAAAACTTATTAAAATATGTGTCACTCTTTAGTTTAATTCTCACAAACAGCTAATTATAGTATAATTATGGTTATAGTTAATTGTAGTTTGTTTTGTGTTTTTGTGTTGTTCTGTTCTAATAAATTAATAAACAATACAAATAAATGAAATTATTGGTGTTAATTAAGATCCAATTAGTCCTCATGGGCAGCACGGTGGCTGAGTGGTTAGTACTTTAGCTTCACAGCAAGAAGGTCCTGGGTGTGAATCTCCCTTAGTGGAGTTTGCATGTTCTCCTCGTGTCTGCGTAGGTTTCCTCCAGGTGCTCCGGTTTTGCCTGCCACTGAAAACATGTACAATAGGTCTGAATGTAATGAGTGAAAGGAGGGTGTTTGGTCGGAGGCTTTGATGGTCCAGTGTGTTCTGGTCTTGCTGCTGTCCTCACCATGTGGAGAGAATGAAAACATATCTAAACTCTGGATATTGTAAAGTACTTTTAGTGACCTGTAAAATTGCACTATAAAAATACACATTTTTTCTACATGACCTTTTTCAACAACATCTAATTAATTACTAACTGACACTTTCCCACGTGGGTTAGAGTTAGCGTTCACTTATCTGCACTTCATCAGGCTAATCTAAAGTACAACATACTTCCCTGAAAGACATAGGAAGAACATGCAAATATTTCTGTACAGTCTGTATGTTTCTGTACAGTCTGTATGTTTCTGTTCAGTCTGTATGTTTCTGTACAGTCTGTATGTTTCTGTACAGTCTATATGTTTCTGTACAGTCTATATGTTTCTGTACAGTCTGTATGTTTCTGTTCAGTCTATATGTTTCTGTACAGTCTGTATGTTTCTGTACAGTCTGTATGTTTCTGTACAGTCTGTATGTTTCTGTACAGTCTATATGTTTCTGTACAGTCTGTATGTTTCTGTACAGTCTATATGTTTCTGTTCAGTCTATATGTTTCTGTACAGTCTGTATGTTTCTGTACAGTCTGTATGTTTCTGTACAGTCTATATGTTTCTGTACAGTCTGTATGTTTCTGTTCAGTCTGTATGTTTCTGTACAGTCTGTATGTTTCTGTACAGTCTATATGTTTCTGTACAGTCTGTATGTTTCTGTTCAGTCTATATGTTTCTGTACAGTCTGTATGTTTCTGTACAGTCTGTATGTTTCTGTACAGTCTGTATGTTTCTGTACAGTCTGTATGTTTCTGTACAGTCTATATGTTTCTGTACAGTCTGTATGTTTCTGTTCAGTCTGTATGTTTCTGTACAGTCTGTATGTTTCTGTACAGTCTATATGTTTCTGTACAGTCTATATGTTTCTGTTCAGTCTATATGTTTCTGTACAGTCTGTATGTTTCTGTACAGTCTATATGTTTCTGTTCAGTCTGTATGTTTCTGTACAGTCTGTATGTTTCTGTACAGTCTGTATGTTTCTGTACAGTCTGTATGTTTCTGTTCAGTCTATATGTTTCTGTACAGTCTGTATGTTTCTGTACAGTCTGTATGTTTCTGTACAGTCTGTATGTTTCTGTACAGTCTGTATGTTTCTGTACAGTCTATATGTTTCTGTACAGTCTGTATGTTTCTGTTCAGTCTGTATGTTTCTGTACAGTCTGTATGTTTCTGTACAGTCTATATGTTTCTGTACAGTCTATATGTTTCTGTTCAGTCTATATGTTTCTGTACAGTCTGTATGTTTCTGTACAGTCTATATGTTTCTGTTCAGTCTGTATGTTTCTGTACAGTCTGTATGTTTCTGTACAGTCTGTATGTTTCTGTTCAGTCTGTATGTTTCTGTACAGTCTGTATGTTTCTGTACAGTCTATATGTTTCTGTACAGTCTGTATGTTTCTGTTCAGTCTATATGTTTCTGTACAGTCTGTATGTTTCTGTACAGTCTATATGTTTCTGTTCAGTCTGTATGTTTCTGTACAGTCTGTATGTTTCTGTACAGTCTGTATGTTTCTGTACAGTCTGTATGTTTCTGTACAGTCTATATGTTTCTGTTCAGTCTGTATGTTTCTGTACAGTCTGTATGTTTCTGTTCAGTCTGTATGTTTCTGTACAGTCTGTATCTTTCTGTACAGTCTATATGTTTCAGTACAGTCTGTATGTTTCTGTACAGTCTGTATGTTTCTGTACAGTCTGTATGTTTCTGTACAGTCTGTATGTTTCTGTACAGTCTCTGTACTCCAAACATATGGAGCTGGGAGGGTTGGCAGAGCAGATGGAAGAAGGCTGCGTTCAGAGCTCCCATGAAGCAGCAAAGACATGTGATTCCAGCGCATCCAGTGTAAATGAGAGACGGTTACACGGGTTACGTGTCCCTGTGCTCCTCAGAGTCCCAGCAGGAGGCCAGTCCCTGTGCTCCTCAGGGTCCCAGCAGAAGGCCAGTCCCTGTGCTCCTCAGGGTCCCAGCAGAAGGCCAGTCCCTGTGCTCCTCAGAGTCCCAGTAGGCCAGTCCCTGTGCTCCTCAGGGTCCCAGCAGGAGTCCAGTCTCCTGCTGTAAAAATAATAATAAATAAATAAACTATTGTAAACCGCTTTGAGACTCAGATCTGCAGTGAAAATGTGGTATATAAATAAAGATTACTACTTACTACTACTTACAGTCTCTGTGTGAATAGGTCCGTGGTCTCTACTCGGGTTAGTTGAAAGTATAAAGGATTTACTTTACCAGCGCTCCAGAACCTGCAGATGTGTTTTCTGCTGACGTCATGAAAACACTGTTTAATTTCTGGTTAAAATGTAAGTAACTCACCACAGACCTTTGCACTGAGTCAAATATTATCAGGTTTTATTTTCTTTTATCTCTTGCTGCGTTTCAGAAAAAATCGTCAAAAATCGATCTGTGTCTGTGCAGCTCAGTAACCTGCTCTCAGCGTGTGCATCTATAACTGCTCCACACATGTGTTTTCTTAAGGAGCAGAGCAGAGTGTTGCCAGCCCCATCATCTGCTCCGGGCGCTGGAACTACAGCCCTGGGACTGTGCCCTGGGACTGTGCCCTGCCAGCCTGAGCAGCCAGTGGACCAGTGGAGCTGGCACCATCACACCGTGGCACTTAGTGCGGGACACTCAGCCAAGAGCCCGTGATGTTTTGCAGAAATGTGCTGGAAAGGTTCCTCTCCGGCTGCAGGCTGCGGAGGAGGCTCTTCGTTCTGATGCGGACGATAAGAAGGAGTCAAACTTTGTGCATCAAGTCCTGTTCTGCTGTTCAAGAGAGACAAGGCATGTTTATTTGTATGGCACAATTCATACACACGCAGTGTTGGGCTCCAAAGTAGAAAGTAGTTACTAGTTACTTCTCCCAAAAAGTAACTGAGTTTCTAACGGAGTTACTCCACTATAAAAGTAACTAGTTACCAGTAAAAGTAACTATTGCGTTACTTTTTCGTTTCATTCTGAAACATAATGTGCGCTCGACGTGCACATGTTGACCTTTAACCTCAGTGAGTCTGAAATAGTGCCAATATTTCCATCTAGAAAAGGCTGTTTTGCTGCTGAAGTCCTGTTCACTCTTCATATGTCTCTGTGTAAGCACTAAACACCAACACCCGCCACTGTGAATGTGGAAACACCGGTGAAGCACTGACTTCAGCCCAATCAGATGAACATATATATCATATATAATAATATATATATATATATATATATATATATATATATATATATATATATATATATATATATATATATATATATATATATATATATATCATATAAATCAAGTGGACAGTTTGTTTGGCTACAGCAGAATATGTTTCATGCATTGTTTGTTCAAACAAAACACAAAACTATGAGTTATGGGTCTTACCTTATAAATGACCTGCACAGTCCACTTCGGTTCAGACCAGTTCCATGTTTAAGTCCAGATAATAGTTTGAGCGTAGATATGTAATCCTCCGTTTGGAAATGAGTCCAATGAGTTTTAAAAAGTAAAACAAAACGCGTGTGTCCTCCGTAAACTCCTCTGTTTTGCTGCAGCCGGCTGCATCCAATTTCTAAAACCAACCGTCTTACACTTCACCTCTTTCTTATCATTCCTATAGTCATTGAAAAATCACCCTAAGTGCATTTTAAATGATCTTAAAATGTGTTATATGTATGTTAGCCAAACCTGCTGCTGTCCTTAGCAGATAAACCAGGAAGAGAAAGGAGCTTATCCATGGAATTGTATGCAGCCTTCTGCGCTCACATGAGCTCCTCTGAGGCCTCACGGTGATACAAGCCGTGGTTGAGTGTGATTAAGACCCATTTGTTTCAAAAACACACTTTATGACCATCCTCTCAACTGTAAACATGTAGATTGTAAAGGAAATATGTTTTACATCAGCCAATAATTGCTGAGAGGTTTTCTCATCCTCCCTTCTCTCATGACAACACGCGCACGAGTCCTATCACGAAGTAAAAAGAGAAGTTCGTTGTGCGTCTTGAGTAACGCGCAGTAACGGGATGTTAATGATAACAGCGTTATAGTTACAGTCAAAGTAATTAGTTAGATTACTCGTTACTGAAAAAAGTAACGCCGTTATTCCCATCACTGTACACAAGACAACTCAAAGTGCAGAACAAGACAAGAAAGCATTAAAATCATAAATAATCACAGTACATTAAAAAGAAAGATACAAATATAAAATCCCTCAGTTGTATGCACAGCTAAACAGAACTGTTATAAAAAGAGGAGGCCTGTCTCACATCTTCAGGAAGATTAAGAGAGCGATGTTCATATTTGTTAAACACTTGAGTCACACAAAGGCCTCTGCATAATGTCAGCGGAACGAGCCGTGGAGCTGTGTTTGGGTGAGTGAAGCTCCCCGTTCTTTTGTACAGTGAGGGAAGGAGACGGTTGTTTAATCACAGGTACACAACAGGGAGTGACAGAATAACACACTATTGTGAACAATGTATGTCCGTCTGCTTTATAACTGCTGTAATTCTTGTTCAACTGTTTTATTGACTGCTCTTTTCAATTTTAACATTTTGATCACCTTCCCTGTCCTAATGTATCACCTGTCTGTTATTTCTTCACTCCCTGTTCCAACATTGTCATTTCCTTGTTTTGTTTTTGTCTTTGTCCCATGTTTTATTACTTTTCTATTGTTTTGCTTGACTTAGATTTGTTATTTGCTTTGATTAATTAACTTATTTTTGCTGTCACATAACGTTTCCAGCCCCATGCTTCAGAGTGAAATACATGGTCTTAACAAGGTTTGACAAAGACAAGAAGAAACCAGTAGGAACCCTGAGTTTAGGCAAAAAAGTTCAGTACCCCGGCTTTAATACATCTCAACTCAGCAGAGCATATCTCATTCCTCCTTATTCTTCAGTTTTTATACTGATTCATGTTTATTTTTGTGTTCCAATCAGGCCCTTATTACCCTGATAAATGACTTGCCTTCAGTCCAGCTTTCCAGAGTGGGTGGGTGGGGCCAATCCACAGGGGACCCCGGTGAGCGAGCGGGTTTTCACTACAATGCACTTTTAAATACGCTCCGAGTAGAAACGCATTACTCTGTTTATTGTTGAAGCTGCAAATCTGCGACAAAATGACGAGCGAGATTAACGTTAATTGACTCTAGAATAAGCAACGAATCAAATTACACCAACGCGCCAATTCTACAGCGCGCAGAATCCCATCCAAGCACTCACAAAAAAAATCTCAATCCCAGCGCCGCTCCGACTCAGGCCAACTGGAAATTTGCGGAAAAGGGCTGCTTGGATTCTTGAGGCTAATCTAGCGGGACAACAAAGGCTGAGAACAAAGTGTGTTTTGGACGCGGGAGGAAGCATGTGTTTTGGGAGCGGGGTTCCTGCTTCACGGTGCGAGCTAAGTGCATAATGAGGCCGTAAACCTCTGGGGCTGCGGTCACACTGTGTCCCCCCAGACTCAGCGGAGGAGACCCCAAGACCAGGCTCCGAGCACGGGTTCTATCAGCAGGATTCTAGGATCTGCAGGAGTCGTTATTGTCACTGGGAGAAAATGTTTGGCGGTGAAATGACAGTGTTTTTTAGCAGGTGGAGTGATAGTAAAAGGACGTTTGGACTTTTTTGGAACATACTGTAACTCTCACTGTAACTGTAGGACCCTAAATCACAACAGTAGTTTTCTCGAAGGACTTTACAAAGCTGTCGATTGGTTGACACAGATCAGATCAAACAGTTTAAACACAGGAAATGCGATTATTACAAATCTTAATGAAGTCCATAACTGTCATTGAATGTCCTGGATCATCATTGCTTAGACGAGGCATTTCAACCTCAAATTCGGCCCGTGAAACCATTATCAGTGGCCCCTGATATTCAAGGATAATCATAACAGGTATAATGGGATACTATGGCATGTTATACTTCATTTTAAAGCGTATCTTCTCATAAAAACAACCACATGACTTAATATGTTCTAAAATATGAACTAACATGTGTGTCATTTTTTTATTGGTGGATATTTAACAATCAGCCTTAAAATAAATGTCTTCTTGACATTTGGGCTGGTTCTGGTTGAATCCAAACCTACTGTCAAATACAGTTAGTGTCAAAAGACAAAAATAGATAAAAAAGACAAACATAAAAAACCTTTACGCCACTTGTAAACTCCTGGCCCAAACCAGCGCTTATGTTTTTGAATTGGGCCCCAGACACAGATAACTTTGACACCTCTGGCTTAGACAATCATTTTAAGCTGAGGCGGTGGTTAAAGGACGTTTAGTGGTTCACATGTGAAAGTTTGTGTGTTTGATCAAAGTCTGGACGTTTCTGGAACATTCTGTAACTCTGAATTAGCTTTGCAGAAACACAGGATTCAATTCAAATAACTTTGTTCATTTATGAGAAACTTCATTTGCAGACATAGCACCGGTGGGAATTCATAAAAATCCTTGAATGTAAATATTTAAAACACAGAAACACTTGATCAAAAATATGATGCAATAAAAAGTGCAGAAATGCAGTAAAAAGACAAATATATTATAATCTGTTTCATCTGAAACAGGCCGTGTCCCACTCTGCTGTTTAAAAGGCGGATTGAGGAGGGAGGAAGCTGGTCCTATGATTCTATGATAGCCAGACCTGGGCAAAGTGCGGCCCGAGGACCACACACGGCCCAAATCATGTTTCTATGTGGTCCTCTGACCTGTTCACAGATGTCCTGCTGTCTCACACATTTAAATGAACGGGCCCTCATCCTGTTGCTAACATTGATTGGGACGTTTTCAATGAATTATATCAACGTCATGAGCGCTACAATGTATTTTGCTTGAGTCCAGTTTTGGTTCAATCCAAACAAGACGAGTGAAGAATATTATCCATATTTCAGAAAACAAAAAATCCTCAAAGTTCCTGTAATATTGTAAAAGGTTTACATTTGTAACTGACACAGCTCCATTGTTCCAAACTACATCGAATGGTAACTCCATGAAAATGAGTCCAGCCCAAAAAGTGGTCAGTCTTTGATCCTACAGCTCAAACTAAAGATCAAGTATTTGGAGCAGTGCATTGTGGGTCATTTCTGGTGAAACAATAGGATTAGAATGAATTGAAACTTGTCGTTGTTGGTGTTTCCTGCACTAAGTGATGTAGGGAGAGGCTCAGTCACATAGAGGAGCTTGGACTAAAGCCGCTGCTCCTCCTCATGTGTAGAGGCCAGCTGAGACATCTGTAGTATTTGACACCTCTTGTTAGGGATTTTTATCACAATTATTTTAGTAATAATTGAAATTCATAATCATTTTTAAGCAGTATTTTTACTCTGTGCTCGGTGTCTTTCCATTTCTGAGATCTATAGACCAAAGATTCAATATATTCATAAATATATACAGCGCTTTTATTGGAAGCTTTACAGGTCATTATCATTCGCTGTGATAAACTACCGCTTTAGCCACAGCTGCCCTGGGACACGCTGGGAGTTTCACAAGAAAATCTAAAATGCTAAATAGTTTGCCAAACGTCTCGATCCAACCCAACAGTTTATAAATCTGTCTTGTTAAAAACTGACTTCAAATCTGTTTTTTTTTGCAGTTTTCTGATATTGGGGCCCAGTTGTTGATCGTTGGAGTCTGGGTCGTCCGTTTCTATGTGACAGCTTTGTGTGAAACTGCCAAACTAACCCTAACCTCCTCCTTGCTCCTGTTACAGAGGTCGATGCAAACCTCCAAGGCACTCAAAGCATTGTTTTCTATTAATGCATAACTTGTTGTTGGAAAATGACTTCTATTCTTACATCTGCCTTGGTATTTGACTGTGAGGTGTCTATAATCATTAACACATGAGCTGCGCTGAGGTCGGTGGAATCACTTTGTTATAATAATCAATTCATAGTTCAGGAAAAGGACCTGGTTTTGGGGGCAAAAAACAGAAACAAATCTTTTTCCACCAACATAAATAATTATATATGTGGTGTTCCTTTTTGGGTAAATAGGTTCAGTTTTCATTAATTCAAGACGGGTGCTAATATGGAGAGGCAACAACGTGTGTATCACCCTAAATCACAACAGGAGTTTTCTCAGAGGACTTTACAAAGCTGTCGATTCACCAACACAGATCAGAGAATCAAAGTGTTAAAACATTTAAAAAAACATAGAGCCATAGGTCCATGAGGGGCAAAGACCAATGTTTATAAATGTTTATAAAGTCCATGAAAGTCCTGGATCATCACCACTGTCATTAGAAGATTATTTCAAGGTGACAATTTTCAGATCAATTTTGAAGAAACTTGTAATACATAAAATATCACTTTCCAACAATACTTTCATGTGTCACTACGATTGGAATAAAAGAGACTAAATAAGCCTATTGCCGTGTGTAGAAGTCTAACCATACTGGAACATCGTGGATAGGTCCTGAGCAGATTCCTGCTCACTCCAAAGGACCTCAGCTTCCTCAGAAGGACCTCAGCCTCCGCAGAAGGACCTCAGCTTCCTTAGAAGGACCTCAGCCTCCTCAGCGAGAGCAACCTCGCACCAGTCGACAAAGTCTGTGATAACCGACTGATATTCCAGATCGTTCCCAGATGGTTCCCAGATTGTTCCCCTCAGACACACAGCCCAAGATGGAGTCGTCAGAGAACTTTTGCAGGTGACAGCTCTGTGCTGTTCCTCTGGTGCTCTGTCCAAAGCCGGAGATGTTCTTAAGGCCTCTCCACACGTCGCGGGCGTTACCCTGGGCCAGCTTCTGCTCCAGCTTTTTCCCATAGTCCTTTTGGCCCTTATGATCCTCCACTGGAACTCGTGCTGGATCCTCTTCTGCTCCTCTTTGTCCCCTGAGATGAAAGCCCTCTTCTTGAGGTTCAGGAGGGCTTTAAGCTCAGGGGTCACCCATGGGTGGTTATTGGAGAAGCACCGTACCTTCCTAGTCGGTACAGTGTTATCCACACAGAAGAGAACATAGTCTGTAATGCAGCGTGTCAGGCTCTATATCCATGTCATAGAGTTGATCCTAGCAAACCTTTAATAATCATAGTATAACTGTTTTCTTCAGCATCTCTGAAAGTTGAACCAATTTTCAAACAAGGCCCAAATGCTTCATATTCTCCAGCCCCTGTTCTGCAGCTTTACTCCATTGCATGAAATTCAATTGTGGAGCTCATGGTAAGTTTGCCTTTTAAGTCTTTCCAGATTGTAACGAAGATTATAGCTTTGGAAATGACAAACAGAAATCAAACTCACAACACATGAGCGATGTAAGTATCCACATCACTTCAATACCTCATACCCACAATCTGGGACCTGTCCAGAAACCGATCACCATCATTTTGCAGAACTGATTTGTAAGTAATTTGCTGGTAGAGATATGTATGGATATGTAATGGTGTGTATATATATGTACAGGTGTGTATAGATATGTGCAGGTGTGTATAGATATGTGCAGGTGTGTATAGATATGTGCAGGTGTGTATAGATACGTGCAGGTGTGTATAGATATGTACAGGTGTGTATAGATATGTACAGGTGTGTATAGATATGTACAGGTGTGTATAGATATGTACAGGTGTGTATAGATATGTACAGGTGTGTATAGATATGTACAGGTGTGTATAGATATGTACAGGTGTGTATAGATATGTGCAGGTGTGTATAGATACGTACAGGTGTGTATAGATATGTACAGGTGTGTATAGATATGTACAGGTGTGTATAGATATGTACAGGTGTGTATAGATATGTACAGGTGTGTATAGATATGTACAGGTGTGTATAGATATGTACAGGTGTGTATAGATATGTACAGGTGTGTATAGATATGTACAGGTGTGTATAGATATGTACAGGTGTGTATAGATATGTACAGGTGTGTATAGATATGTACAGGTGTGTATAGATATGTACAGGTGTGTATAGATATGTACAGGTGTGTATAGATATGTACAGGTGTGTATAGATATGTACAGGTGTGTATAGATATGTACAGGTGTGTATAGATATGTACAGGTGTGTATAGATATGTACAGGTGTGTATAGATATGTACAGGTGTGTATAGATATGTACAGGTGTGTATAACATGGAGAGACTGCAAGAGTTTTTTATGTGTTTTGAGAGTTTTTATGGATTGAGTTGTTTATCGGTTTGGCGCTTTTCATGACCCCCGGGGGCCCAGACACTGGTGGTGGCAACAAGGCAAGCTGAATGTGAGAGTGGGGAGGAGGAGGTGAGGAGGAGGTGGGGAGGAGGTGAGGAGGAGGTGGGGAGGAGGTGGTGAGGAGGAGGTGAGGAGGAGGTGAGGAGGTGATGAGGAGAAGGTGGGGAGGTGAGGAGGAGGGGAGGAGGGGAGGAGGAGGTGAGGAGGAGGTGGTGAGGAGGTGAGCAGGAGGTGATGAGGAGAAGGTGGGGAGGTGAGGAGGAGGGGAGGAGGGGAGGAGGAGGTGAGGAGGAGGTGAGGAGGAGGTGGTGAGGAGGTGGTGAGGAGGTGGTGAGGAGGAGGTGAGGAGGAGGTGGTGAGGAGGTGGTGAGGAGGTGAGCAGGAGGTGATGAGGAGAAGGTGGGGAGGTGAGGAGGAGGGGGGGGGAGGGGAGGAGGGGAGGAGGAGGTGAGGAGGAGGTGGTGAGGAGGTGGTGAGGAGGTGGTGAGGAGGTGGTGAGGAGGAGGTGAGGAGGAGGTGAGGAGGAGGAGGTGAGGAGGAGGGGAGGAGGAGGTGAGGAGGAGGAGTTGAGGAGGTGGAGGGGAGGAGGAGGTGGTGTTTGGCTTGAAAGGCTGTTTGATGGGCTGCTCTGCTTTTAAACTCTGGCTTGATTGGCTGACAGGGAGTTTCTTTTTTCTTCCTGAGTGACTCTATCCATGCCAGATGTGACATGTGTATTTCTTCTGTGTGAGATCAATAACCTCCATCTTATCTAATCTTATGAGCTGATTATGAAAGGCTGAGTAAGGCGTGGTCCGGCCCGGTGTGATAACCCAGTTCGTCTCCCATCCTGAACCTCCGCTTAAGCTTCATAACTCTTTCTGACATCTTCCTTTTGTGCTCCAACTTTTGATCTCCCGTTTTCAACATTCACACTTCTGCCAATCAAACTCTGTGTTGCGCAGAACAAGCTAATCCGCTGCAGACCTCTGTGTTTGCTTGTTTGGGCCTGAGTCGGTGTCAGATTAATTGAAACGCTCCAGACTGAAAGCTTGACGTCCATCGGGTGTGGTTTGAAACACAGCTTGCATCTTTTGTGACACTTGTTTCATAATTGTATCTGCTTTTCTGGCGCCCGATCCCTTTTGCACATTGCATCCTTCGTCCGGAACTCATTGTGCTTTGATTTACACCGTTGCATAAGCCGACTGTTACCAAAACGGGCTGGAGGTAAATTAATATTTTGAGGAAGTAGCGAGCCAAAGCTAGATTAGATGTATTTTATTACAGAGGCGCTGACATGTTTTTGGTCTTGGAAAGAAACTCAATTTTTGTTTAGAGGAAACGCCGGCCGGAGCCAAGGCGGTGCTAAATGATTGCAGAAGAGATCTCGAAAAGGCTTTGAGAGCACCGGAGCTGTTTGTTTAGAATATATCCCTGGCTGCTCCCAAACGGGCCTCAAATCTACAACAGCTGATTAACAACATTAACTCTGACAGCGACGGATCGTACACACTCAGCCCACCGCATCCTCCTCACTCTTAATGACAATAGCCACAAATATATATATACACCACAGATTTACGCTACTGCGACAGGAATCTTGGCATCGGGGCAGACAAGACTTGGGGAAGGGCAGTTTGAGAAGGGTCTGGGGTCTGGGTATACTACTGTTCTACTGTAATGCTTTCGTAATGATTAATAATAATAATAAAAATGCATCAGTTTTATTGACAGACGCGAGGCAACAGTCTGTGCCATCAGCCGCTTCGTCCACCATCAAACATCTAATTCTAGGCAATGAAGGTGAAGTTGATTGCCTGTGGAAATAACCATAATTTGGGACATTACACTTTGTCACCTGAGGTCTCCCATCACAGCACTAACCAGGCCCTGCCCTGCACAGTTTCAGAGGTCTGACTAGATCTTGCTTTCACCTGCAGGTATGGCCACAATGCTAATCCCAGATATCTTTCAAAGTGTCTAGCTATTCTATCATTTTGTTCTGGAATTAAGAAAGGCCACACTTCAGTTTAGCCGTCACTAATTAACAGCCAATTAAGTGATAATTAGTAGAATATTTATGGTTAATGAGCTCTTAATTGGTTTTATTGTGAACATATTAGTCCATATTCTTCACAGCCTTATTCAATTTGGAGAGACGAGAAACGAAAATAGTTTTGAGTATGTTATTGAGAGGTGGTTTGGCGCCCTAGGCCCCCGGTACGGCCTTCAGCTCCTGCGATGGAGCGCGTACAATCCCCCGGGACCTAGGCACTGGTGGCGGCAGATTGGAGGCAGATTGGAGGCAGATTGGAGGCAGATTGGAGGCAGATTGGAGGCAGATTGGAGGCAGATTGGAGGCAGATTGGAGGCAGGGTGAAGAGGAGGAGGAGGGGAGGCGGTGGTTGCGAGGCTTCGAGAAGGCAGAGAGTGGGAGTTTCTCCGCTTTTAAGTGGCTGCCTGTCCGGCACGGATGATTGGAAGGGGGCGTTTGCTGTGCGATAGGCTGGGGAAGCGAACCGGCCTGGAGGGGGTAGCTTTTGGCTGACGTCTACCAAATTGAATTTTCGCGAGCTACATTTCAATTTGGAGAGACGAGAAACGAAAATAGTTTTGAGTATGTTATTGAGAGGTGGTTTGGCGCCCTAGGCCCCGGTACAGCCTTCAGATCGGAGAGGCTCCTGCGATGGAGCGCGTACAATCCCCAAAAAGGCTGTGTGTTGATGGAGTTTTGCAGCCTGGTTTGCAGGGGACAGACGTCGTGGCTGCTCTATGCTGTGACCGCTATCGCTATGCTGTGACCGCTATCGCTATGCTGTGACCGCTATCGCTATGCTGTGACCGCTATCGCTATGCTGTGACCGCTATCACTATGCTGTGACCGTTTATGCGCTAACCATTTTTTGCTATGCTGTGACCGCTAACGCTAACGCTATGACCGCTATCACTGACGCTATGACCGCTATCACTGACGCTATGACCGCTATCATTATATGCTGTGATCGTTATATGCGGTTATCTTTGAGCGCCGGGACGTGAGCGCTCGCATTACGATCAACCAGACGCTGCGGCAGGGTTATCTTTGAGCGCTGGGACGTGAGCGCTCGCATCACGATCAACCAGACGCTGCGGCAGGGTTATCTTTGCGCGCTGGGAACGTGAGCGCTCGCATTACGTTCCGTCAGACGCTGCGGCAGCGGAGAGTGTTTGAGAGAAGTGCGTGCCGCCACCAGAATCTTATTGGTTCACTTACTTTGCTTCGTATTGCTTTGCTGGGAGCTTACGAGGAAGCCAGTAGACGTTGTGCAGGCAGGATAGCGGACGCGTCTGGCCTGATGTAGGCGGAGAAAGCCGAAGAGGACCGGCGCCCCAGCTGTTGCAGAGAGGTGTGGGTGAAAGAGAGCGACCTTTGTGTAAGCTTCCACTACGTCGAGATTATCACACATGACCGAGATCCTCTTTCTCTGCCACGTGTGATTCCGCAGCGCGCAGGCCACGACCACTGGGAATATCTCGTGTAGGGCAGAGGAGATGCTCCGGTGGAAGTAGCGGCCACGGCCCGGCAACCCGAAGGTCCTGGAAAAAACCCCCCAAAACCCACGGAAGGGGCACGTCTGTGTAGAAGCGGAGACCTGTAGGGGCAGAGACATGTCGGAGAGGGCCATGAAGTTGCAGGCGCCCTTACGCTTAGAATCTTGAGTTGGAGAGTAGATAATCAGGATAGGTCGGGAAAAGCCGTGTCTCGGACCGCATGAAGGTTGAGTGAGCAATGGTGAGACGCTTATGCAGAGAAGCCATGGAAGGCGAGCAGGAAGATGCTGCGAGGAGGGCAGACATGTACTTGGAAGATGAGCCGGAGTTCAGTGCCGCTGCAGGATGGGCAGCATGATGGGGAGCCTGCGATCAGAAGAGCGAAGAATGCAGGTATGGATGCCTTTGATTAGGAGTCCGATTGACGGCTCAGCGCAGCCACTCGGCCAGCTGCATCTGATAGAATCAGAAAATTAAGTATAGAGATGAAGCATGACCGCCGAAGCGACCCTGGGAGCATAGGTGCGAGTCCAGCGCAGCGCGGCATACTCGGCCGGGCTGCATCCATTAGAAGCAGGATGAGCTTCTGAGAGAGTGGGTTGCAGCAGTAGCAGTAGCAGTAGCAGCAGCGGCAGTAACCTCAGATAATAACGGCAACGACCTGTATCAGCCGCGGCAGCAGCAGCTGCAGCATCCATAGATAATAACGGCAAAAACCCTGTATCAAAGCCACGGCAGTAGAATATGTTGTAGCTGTTTAGTGTTTCAGTAAGAGAAGCGAAGTGAAGAGAGATGACGAAGTACATGAAGCAGCAGCAGCACGGCAGTAGTAGCAGTATGAAGCAGCAGCAGTAGCAGCAGTAGCGGTAGCAGTATGAAGCAGCAGAAGCAGCATTAGCGGGAGCAGCAGCACCACAAAGCGATTCATACGAACAGACAGACGTGTCACGCCAGCGTGCGCCGCTTGTCTCCGTGAGCCAGGTTACATACGTGTCTGAAAGAGCCGAGCCGTAGAGACGGGTGCAGCCTGGGAGCCTGCGGAGCGGCAGCGGCACATGTAGTAGTAGGAGCAGCAGGAGCAGGCAGCAGGGACAGACAGCAGCAGGAGCGGCAGCAGGAACAGGCAGCAGCAGGAGCGGCAGCAGGAACAGCGGCGGCGGGATCAGGCATCAGTAGGAACGGCAGCGGGGACCGGCAGCAGCGGCGGTCAGAGAACCATGCCCATGGTTGTTTAACAGCCTGAGGAAAAAAAAACCGACCCGAATCCGAAACATCCCATGCGAATAACAGACGTCCCCTGGAGCCATCTTCTGCTTTGGTTATGGCAGATACGCATGAACGATCACTGATCCATGCGTTCATGGCTCCGACACCACTTCACACCCATTGCAGATTCACGTTGGGCCCTTTTTCTTTCTGCTGCACTTTCAAAATGCGACAACTGCAGTTTAGTTACCTAATTTAATACCAGCGACCTAGCTATTTAATGCATGGATTTACTGCAAGTGGCAGAACATGAATATGAATTAATGCACATAGCCCCTCGTATATCCCACAGACGATAGAGATTGATGCCATTTAATGTGCATTGCCCCTCGGTCAGCTCAGACACATGTGAAAACGGAGCCTGCAGACCAAGCACGGGGCGAAAAAACTGACGCCTGCAGTCAAGTGCGTAGGGCAAAAAACCAATCGCCTGCAGCCCAAAACTCCGGGATTAAACCGTCCGCGGTCGGCACACTCACTGTACTCACATGCCAGGAGACTTGGGAAAAGCAACGGGACAACGCGGCACCGCTAATCGAGGCAGGGACACGCACGGCACCGCCAGACCTTCTGCGTGCGGCAGCAGCCACGAGGAACGAGCAGCACAGACCCGCGGAGGGCCCCGCGGAGCAGCCCGCAGAAAGAGCCCGCAGAGCGCAGAGGAGGAGAGCAGTGGAGATAGCGAACCACAGCAGGTGCAGGGACGAGGAGGAGCAGACCACAAGCAGCCAGACGGAGGACGCCAGGGACGCGCCGAGTAGCGTGAGTAGACGAAAACGATTCCTCCAGACGATTCTTTGCGAGGCTTCGAGAAGGCAGAGAGTGGGAGTTTCTCCGCTTTTAAGCGGCTGCCTGTCCGGCACGGATGATTGGAAGGGGGCGTTTGCTGTGCGATAGGCTGGGGAAGCGAACCGGCCTGGAGGGGGTAGCTTTTGGCTGACGTCTACCAAATTGAATTTTTGCGAGCTACATTTCAACATCAAACCAGCTACAATGTGACACACGTGGGGTAGAGTAATGGTTATGGTGCATTGATTAGGACTTAGGTCAATAACGTTTATCTTATCTTAATTAGAGCGTTCATCTGAAGTGTCACCAAAACAATGTGTCTGGTGCGTCTCGTACAGAGTTTGAAATAAACATCTTGATTGAGTCTGGTCTGTGGGACTCTTCCCAATCTGGTCTCGGTGGAGTTTAGTTTAGTTTAGTTTAGTTTAGTTTATTTATTTAAGAGGACAGGGACAGTGCACAATAAACATTAGCCTCAAAGGGAGAGGTGCATTGTACCAGGTTATAGCTCAAGAGCTCATTTCCACCTGTAGTCCCTGGGCAGGCTGATGTTATGGTATTACATTAAAAATAACACACAATCATGGATGTAGTTTACATTTGGCCAAAATACAAGCCTTTACGTGCACAATTAGTTAAAAACTCACATTCATATCACTCATTTATACTGGTCAAACACACACACTTCCCCCCCCCCTCTCTCTCTCACACACTCACACAAGCTAAACAAGTGCAAGTTTGGTTTGATTATAACCATTTCTTTAGAAGGCGTGAGAACATTGCTATCAGCGCTGTGAGAAGCATGTTCCACTGACGAGTGGTCACAGGAAAAAGCAGAGTTTCCAAAAGCTGTCCTGCGTTTGAGGATCCTACACTCGCCGCTCGGTGGATCTCGTGGCTCGTGTTGTTATGTCTGAGCCTAAAGAGATGAACGCTTTCAGTGGAGGAGCAGCGGCGTCATGCACTGGTGAAATGCAGTGGTTAGGGCTCACCAGGGCAGCTGTGGCCCAGGACGCTGCAGCTGTGGCCCAGGACGCTGCAGCTGTGACCCAGGACCCTGCAGCTGTGGCCCAGGGCGCTGCAGCTGTAATCGCCAATGTATTCAAAATGTACCTAAAGAGGTCTGTTTCTGTATATTGTGCGTCACCTGCCACAAAAACACCCTGAAGCAATGATTATTATGTGTTTTTCTGTACTCAGTCTGAACAGGATACATTATAACAACAGTCCAGGAATCAAATCAGTTTATTAGATTCAGATTCAGTTTATTTGCCATTTGCAGTAAAAACACCACATAAGAATACATTAGCAAAAGTCTCCAGTGTGCACGGACAAATACAGACATAAAACAACATTAAAAGACAAAAATAAAACAAATAAAACAGTAAACAAATGTCAATGTGAAATTGATCGACTAAAACAGTTTCAAAACAAGTGCAAATCGTACATATCGAACATATTACAAGATGTTCACCCTTTAAGTTTGTTACTTTGATACTTTATTGATCCATGTGAAGCTTCTTTGAGTGTCCAAAAAAGCGCTATATAAAACCGATGCATTATTATTATGTGGAATGGTCTGCCTCTGCATATTAGACCGGCGGACTCACTTCCTGTTTTTAAGTCGCTTCTTAAGACTCATATTTTTACTTTGGCTTTTAACTCAGTGGGTTGACTTTCTGTGCAATTTGTATTCTTGTATATGTTTCTAAATTATATTGTGTTTTTACTTGTGTTCAGCACTTTGGTCAACTGTGTTGTTTTTAAAGTGCTCTATAAATAAAGTTATTATTATTATTATTATTATTATTATTATTATCCCTGTAGGAGAAATGCAGCAAAACACATCCACACAAACAAAACAAATAAAGTACATTGATATTTCTAAAAACCTAAGAATAGTTTATTTATTTATTTGTTTATTTGAGCAGACAAGTACTGCTCAAAAGGAGTGGGCCGAAGCAAGAGCTTGTAATACTAATAAATATAATCAGCAACAGCAGCAGAGGTGGAGCTGCTTGGTTCAGACCATTTTCTCTGCTCTGGTCCAAATAAAAATGATAAATACTTTGTTAGCATTCCTCCAGGGAGTTTGGACCATGAATCCTCTCTGCTCTGGTCTGGACCAGTGTAAAACCATGAATCCTCTCTGCTCTGGTCTGGACCAGTGTAAAACCATGAATCCTCTCTGCTCTGGTCTGGACCACTGGAACACTGAACTGCAGCAACATCTGAAGAAAAATAACATTTGCAAAACACAAAAAAACAACTGTTTCAGAGACACTTCGGGACTTGCAGCCGTTTCCAGTGCATTCAAAAGTAAACTACATCTGTCATGTTTTTACTGCTTCGGAGCATTCTGAGATCCTGTAAATGTGACAGATCTGAAAACTGTTTTGTCCACTCACAACATCTGCGTCATTACACCATCCTTCATTCAACACCATTTCACACATCAGTTGAGGATTTCAAAAGGACGATCCTGCCTCAGCCTCAAACATGTCTGCATCCTGTCTCCTTTTCCCTGGAGGAGACCTGAGGCTGAGCAGGTTTTGGGCTGTTACTAAGAACCTGCACTGGGGGTGAGACTGACACCTCCCCTTTAACCACCGCCGTGTCAGACTTTGGCCAAAACATGCAGAATATAATGTAAGATAATGGATTGAAACATAGGCTTTGTCTTTCTAGTTTCCTCAGAGGACCATGTGATTAGAAAGCACCCGAACCCTGAAAGCAGTGGTTCAAGATATAAATAAAATCTGTCATTTTGTGCCGGGAGCTGTTAATGCTGTTATTTAACTACAGTCAATCCTGGACAAAATCACGTACACAAAAAAGACATAGTTCAGGCATTCTTTATTACTTGATTGCCTTTTCCAAGGAGAAGTGATTTTGAAACAGAGACAGCAGAGAATGCTGATCTCACTCAGACCAGACTGCAAACTCCTTTTGTCAGTACATAACACACCTTCATTTGCAGATAAGACAAGAAGAACGAACAGAACAAAAAGCACTCCGTATTAGCGTATACAAAGCCTGCTTCCTCCTGGTTATCAACGTAGAGCCCCCAAACTTCCTGGAGCCAAAGTGGATTACAATACAACCGTTCAGTATTTAATATATCCAGCCACATCTAGGAATTATTAAAATGATAACTTAAAGAACATTCCAATGACAGGAGCTTGGACACGGAACGCACTTCTCCAGTGGCCTCTGGGTTGGCATTGGTAGACTGTGTCTGGGAAGAACAGTTTTTTGTTGAAAATTGTCAAGATAAAAACATTGCGATCCTACAATTGTCCTATGAAGAAAACAAAAAGTAATCCACAAGATGAAGATGACATTTTCTAATGAATAAAAGGGATTTATGATGCACAGGTCCTGAAGAAGGGGGCGACAGTAGCTCAGTTGGTAGAGCATTGGCCTTTAGGCCTGAAGTTCGTGGGTTCAATTCCCACCTCGACACCTTCTCCAGTGACTTCCGCTGATGTCTGCTGTTGTTGTGTCCTTGGGCAAGACACTTAACCCCACTTTGCCTGGAGTCTCGAAAAGATTCAGTTTATGTTCACACTTACAGAGCAGCTGTCCTCCTGTGGACTCACCACCTGTGACTTGGGACTTGGGTGCAGCTCTGACTGCCACCGACCCAGAAATGGATTAAGGGGTAGAAAATGGATGAATGGAGGTCCTGAAGAACTGACTGAATAAACAGTTCAAATCATTTATTTTTGTATAGCCCCAAATCACAACAGTAGTTTTCTCTGTGGACTTTACAAAGTCACCAACGATTCACCAACACAGATCAGAGAATCAAGCAGTTCAAATGCAAAAAACACATCGAGCCATTGGTCCATAAGGGGCAGATGATCAAAAGTGAGAAACCTCAATGAGAACCACATTGAGGATCTGCTGCCACGGACGGACAGGTAGACCCAGGACTGAGGTTGTTAACCCAGGACTCAAGCTGTAGAACAAGGACCAAGGCCACACGATGCAGGACTGAGGCTGTAGACCCAGGACTGAGGCTGTAGATCCAGGACTGAGGCGGCTCCCAGTAAATAGAAAACTGTTTTTCTATCTTGTTTTGTAAATTGCCCTTTATTAGCAACACATTTTGTTACTTTTGGCTCTAATTTATACAGTTTTGCAGAATTGTTTTCCAATTTGTTGTCAAGGTATAGCCGTTGCCCAGAGGACGTTCCTGGCAGTGATCAGACAAACATCCCGGGGCCAGGCCGGTTGTTTCACGCAGGACGTTACTAAATATCGAAGTCTTCCCTGATGACAAAATGCGGCTCGATAATTCTGTCTGTTTTTGATTATCACCGCGAACCAATAATCACATAGTTTTTTCATGTAATGCTTTTTTGCTCACAATCTGTCTTGCATTAAACTAATCATGTCATTGTCTTTATTAGATCCAGCTCGGCCCCTGAAGTATTACAGCGATTCACAGACAGTAAATGTACGCGGACATGAAATAAACGGTAACCTGGGATCACCTCTCGTTTCCAGCTCCTCGGATTACTGCAAAAACCAGATCTTTGTGGAGTCAGCTCGGGACAAAAGGTGTTGCTTTGTTTTCTCTTGCCTCAGGATAATGATACTTGTAATGATGGATTGAACGGACGTGAATGCGATGCTAAATGTGTAATCGTTTGTGTTGTTAGGATCCCTGCAGTGAGTCACGGAGCCGGGGTCAGTGTCCGCCGTCACCATGTGTTGTCGTATCGCTGAAACTACTCAACCTATCCACGTGAAACTGGCAAAAGGTCAATGTTTTCTCCGTCAGACTGAATGTAAGAGAGTGTCCAGCTAATTACAATCAGCAATGACCACGGGACAATTGAACATTATGGAGCTGTTTAGTCTCCATCAAGATTCAAACTCAGATTTTTGGCTCTCTTCTTTCACCCTTTAGTATGCACTCCTCAAAGAAAGTAATGTGATATTTTCTGTTTTTGATTTTCTAAGATTTAGGCGCCTTTTTAACACAAATAATCCCTGTTTTTTCGGTCTTTGCCATATGGTTGAGATTCTGTGTGATGGTAAAGGCCTAAAGCCAGTGGGGGCGGGTCCCGGCTCAAAAGTGGCCAAAATGACGTGCGCTGACATGCTGCAATACCACCCCAGGCCTGTGGGGGTGGACCCGGAAGAAGAATTAGCCAATGCTAACACATAGCATCTTCTTACCTCTCAAAACGTCTTTACAGGATGGACCAAAAGTTGGCTCTTGGCCCAAAGCTCCGGTCCACATGGGTGTCAATGCTGAGGGGAGTGTTCTGGACCAGTCTAGTTTAGTCGCAGTGGACTTTAGAAGTCTCTCGTTTAAGTGAATGGAGCTCGTGCAGCTGATGCATGCACGGATGTGTTTTTTCACACTTTCTAGCCCCGCGGCCATTTTGAAACTGCCCATAGACCGCGGAAGTTGTGGCACATTAGTTAGAACGGCGGAGATAGGCGTGACTACGTCCGTTAATATGCCTAAAACCTAAAGTGAGATATTTTTAGGCTTTAGGCTATAAGATAATACTTTATTGATCTCACAATGGAGAAATGTATATATCACTCAGATTGTGCAAAAAGACACCGTACAAACATGTTAAAAGGTTAAAATCAAGCCTCTGTTGTGCAATAACATTAGAAGAATCTATAGCAGTGTGGGTTTTTCAGTCCGAGTGCAGGTGGATTTCAGTTCCAAGCTTTGGGAAAAGAGTGAATGAGAAGGTGATCTACCAAATGATTGATGAAACCATGAAAGGGTTATGAACTAAAGTAGTCCTGTTGCTAAAATGTTTGGACCCCCCTGATGTATGTTATGTTGATCATTTATTATTTGAATGCCTTGTGCGATTGTTTCTCTCTTCTCTAACATAATGAGACACAATGAACTCTATACACATGTTTCTATCTTGCTTTGTTGAGGACATTGAGTTTCCTTGTGTATGAACTGGGCTATACATGGCCTTGCTTCAATAAAAGTACAACAAAAAACTAAAACAGGTGGTTAGTATTACAATGAATGAGGCGTAATTTCCTTGTGAACAGCTCAAAGGCCCCAGCCCAAAAAGACATTGGATTTGCTGACCCTCACCCCTGAAAATAAGTTCAGAATTCGCAGTTATCGCCTCACAATTGGTCCCAGGGTTCGGGATCTGAGCGTTCCGGTGGCTGCGTCTCTGCTAACTTTCAGCGCACATATAGTAACAGTTTATTCTCCGCCTAATAAGAAACAGAAGCCCATGAGGAGGCCTTTCCATGCGCGCTGTTTCATGGGGCTCCTCGGTGACCTCCGCGAACCAAACTTGCTAACTGCATTTAGCCCGTGACTCATCTCTTCTGAATCGGTCCGTAAAAACCTCTTGCTATTCCGTTGAAAAAAGGTCGTCCGCTGCCATGTCCCGGTGCGTCACACTCCCGACAAACGCACCAATCGTAAAGTCTTGGGTAAGGTTGCGTAAAAGCGTGTTCTCGTGGTTAATGGACTGTGAAAAGCAGAGACAGAGTGTAATAAGTGAGCCATGAGTAACTGAGGGGGATCCAGGAGCTGCTTTCACGACTCTGTCATCGAAACTGTGTTTGCTAAATCTGTGAGAGGGAGAGGGCAGTTTCAGTGACAGCCTGATTCACCCTCGCTGCGTAAGGGAGAGAGGTTCCGCAGGGCTTTCCTTCCTGCTGCTGTCAGACTGTACAACGACCAATTAGCGCTGCCGACCTGACCTCATATGTTGTGCATCTGTGCAATAATTTAAAATAATGTTAAAAAATGTTATACTAGCTTCTTTGTTATGCTAATGTTAGAGATTTTATACATACTTTATAATGCCAAGCGTTATAAAGTATGTATAAAACTGTGGTTGTGTCCTTAGGCAAGACACTTCACCCACACTAGAATGAGTCTGGTGTGTGTGTGGAGGGTTGGTGGTGGTGGGAGGGGCTGATGACACATACTGGTTACTTTGATTCTGTTAGTGTTCCCCAGGGCAGCTGTGGCTACAGTAGTACCATGTTTACTGGATCATAAACCACACCTGATGGAGCCGCTGGAACTAATCTTCAGAATAAAATCGATTTTGTACTTGTGCAAGCCGCAGAGGATTATAAACCGCTCCTGTCCCACAGTGTAATATTAAAAGTTCCGGATGTCTTCTTATTACTCACAGTAATAAGAAGACAAGAGCCAGAGGTGAGTCACTGACTGTTCTAGATCTTCAGCGTGAAGCAGAAAGGAATTTACAGTTATCTGTGAACGACAGTTACTCTGTTGGTCTACTGTGACTTGACAAATACTTTTTTGGTTCCTTTGAAAGACAAGTTTAGATGTATTTCCTTGTTAACATGATTCGGCCGCAGAGCTGCGAGCCATCTCCATAACTGTCACCTGCCTTGGTGACAGTTGATTGACCTATCAGGTTAATCGGGCTGACCACGCCCACTCAGGAAGTAACATCAGCTGATGAATGACACGTCACCAAGGCAGGTGACAGCTCTGCAGCCGTTAACAAGGAAATACATCTAAACTTGTCTTTCAAATGAACCAAAAAAGCCTTTTTAACTCACGACAAAATGAACCTTTTTGAAGAATTACTTGACACAATGTTTTTGGCACAATAAAAAGTCATAATAATAAGTGAGCTGCACCTGACTATAATTCGCAGCCTTCAAAACTGCTTATAGCCCAGAAATGACGGTAGTTTATCACCACTGTTTTTGAGTTAATGAATAATAATAATAATAATGAAGCGTCTTTGAATGTTCTGAAAAGCAAGTTATAAAATAAATGCAATATTCTTGTTATGTTAAATGAATGTGCCCTTTTCATGTTTATGAAAACAATTACAGCAGGATTTTAACTTTGGTCATATAAATGAAAAATACTTTCTGCTACTAACTACTAGTTAGGTTTTGGCCATGCTTTCTTTCTTAAAGTCAGACAAATACTGCTGTTATTGGGCTCCACCTTTCTGTGTGGAGTTTGCATGTTCTCCCCATGTCTGCACAGGTTTCCTCTGGGTGCTCCGAGTTCCCCTACAGCAAAAAAACATGTACAATAAGTCTGGTATGTCCACGCCGCTCCCATCTCTGTGTAAAGTGAGAGACACACACCCACAACTATTCTAAAGCGCTTTGTGAATGTCGCAATATAAATAAGGATTACTTATTGACCAACGCAGGACAGCTTTGGTTTGGATGAAGTCTCTGGATTGTGACATTTATTTTGGGCCCAGGGTTTTGGATCAGCCAGTCTTCACAGGGGCATGAAGCTCTTTACTTCCAAACTGCAGCCAGAACTTTATCTGTTGATGTCTGGATGGCAGCCTGGATCTGTGCCCTGTGTTCTGACAGCGACAATCTGGGTCTAATATAGCTGTGTGTGTGTGTGTGCGTGTGCGTGTGCGTGTGTGCGTGTGTGCGTGTGCATGTGTGTGTGTGCGCGCGTGCGTGCGTGCGTGTGCATGTGTGTGTGTGTGTGTGTGTGCGTGCGTGCGTGTGTGAGGGAAAGGGTGTGTATGAGTATGTATGTGTACGTGTATGTGTGTGTGTGTGAGGGAGAGTGTGTGTGTGTTGTTGTTGTTGACCATAGAATTAAAGTTGAACTTTCCAAATGATAAAAATGTTATGTTTTGTTGTTGCTCTATATATTAAAAAATATGGTTGAATCAATAAAGAGCCAACGACAACACCAGGACCAGGACTAGGACACCAGGACCAGGACACGAGGACTAGGACACCAGGACTAGGACACCAGGAATAGGACACCAGGAATAGGACACCAGGACCAGGACACCAGGAATAGGACAGCAGGACCAGGACACCAGGAATAGGACCAGGACTAGGACCAAGACACCAGGACCTAGGACACCAGGACCAGGATCACCAGGAATAGGACCGGGACTAGGACCAGGGCTAGGACACCAGGACCAGGACACCAGTATTGAATATGTGTGTGTGTGTGTGTGTGTGTGTGCGTGTGTGCACTTGTTTTCAACTCCTGGTGGGTTCCATAACCTGAGATTCCACTCACGTCATGGGGACTGGTTTTACGTGGTGGGGCCCGAACACCGGACCCCACTGGTCCAAGCTTAATAATCAATGGGTAATGCTTTTCTAACGGTCCTTATGCAGTCTCTGTAAAAATATGGAAAGGACCCCTGGAGGTTTACTTTCCTGAAAAAAGTGTGTTCTGTGTCGGAACCCTGGTGGTGGGTTGCGGAATATCAAGGAGGGGCACACTGGTGCAATTTCAGTCCAGCAGGCTGGAGCCAATCATGGAGCAGCACAACAGAGGAAATCAGGTGTCAGGCTAGAAAATGTGCAAGTGTGTGGTTCATTAGGCTGCAAGAAATCATGGAGGAGCACACTGAAGCGCACGCTTACAAACCACTGGTAAGTGCTGACTACAAGTCATTACTTCAAATTGTTATATAGAATTATTACAAATTATTTGTTGTTTGTGCAGCTTAGTCAAGAGTCCCTAATTGATGAAGTCGACTCAGATTCTGACGATTTAACTGTCAAGAAGAAACCTGTAAAAAAGTATGGAAAAAGAAAAATCAAAAACACTTTTCTTCAAGACTCGGAAAGTGACGAACCAAAGGCAAATAAGATTGTTATCATGCAGCTGCAAAAGAAGAAAAATGGGGGGAGAGTTTACACCAAGAGACACTTCTGCCTCTACTGTTCAATGTCCTGCCACAAAATGTCCCGTCATTTGACTAGAAAACATGGAAATGAAA